ATTTGTGCTCGTCGCCTAATGATCGCATAACATAGTGGTCGTCGTTTATAGTGTTCACTGGTTATAAGAATCAGCCGCTTATAGTGATAAAAAAATGCCAGGAATGAAACAAAAAGCCGTTATAAGTGCATTTTTCGTCAATTAAAGTGTTCAGGTTTTCGGTTATTGTGATCAGAAATATAAAATATAAGTATAATTTACAATAATATCACCTCTTTTTGTGTATAGGAAAAACGATTACGAATGACAATTATCTTAATCGTGAACTTTAAACACGGGCGGGTTTAAGGGGATGGCTAAGAGAGTATTAGCCCCCCCCCCCCTTGGGACTAAGCTATCTATTTTACAAAGTAAAGTACTATTATATATTAATAATTACAATAAAATATCGTCAATGGATGAATATGGTACCCATTTTATATATTTTTTTTATAAATAAATAGCTCTTTTTTTGTTGTTAATTATGTGTATTTACCTATATTTTAAAATGGTTTCAGATTAAAATTAATACCAATAATGTAACTATTTAAACTTTGTTATTATTGTGAAAAAAATGACTCACTTATGAGGGACTCAAAAACATATTCTGTAATTTAAAATTTTATATAGATTTAAAAAACTAACTAATTAAATTCTCAAACCATTAGCTCCTCCCTTGGTTATTGATTAAACCCGCCCCTGACTTTAATCGAGCTAATCTTATCTAATGTAATCCACGTAATAAGCGACACTTCATATCGTACATTCGTACACGTTTAAAACCGTTTTTGTTCTCACAAGCACCGATATTTTAACATTTTACACCCAGTTTGTTTTTGTCCGTCGTTCAGTGTACTGTATGTATGTAGTTGTACACTGTATTATGGCTAGTAGGAGCACGCTTTCAACTAGCGAAAAAAAAAATATATATTTTCGAGTCGCCGCTTATAGTGATTTCCGGTTATAATGAACACAGTTCTCTCGAACGAAGTGATCACTATAAGCGGCGACCACTGTAGTATCAGTATGTACATATCGTACGCACAGTGGGGCAATTGACATCGAAAGCTGGCATTAAATCATAGGGTAAAAAAATATATTACTAAAATTAATATTATTTTTATATTTGTTCATCAGACATATAAAAAGTCGTTTATATAGTATTAACATAAGGTATAAAGTATTTATGGTATTTATTTATTTAATTTATTAACAAAATTAGAAAAATGTATTATTTTAAGTTTTAAGTTTAAAACTGGTCATGGTTATTGTCTTCATTTTCTTCATTGCTGTCATTATCTTTGTCATAATCATCATCATTATCGTTGTCGTCATCATCATCATCATTATCATTGTCGTCATCATCATCATCATCATCATCGCTATCTTCAGCATATTGAAGAGAGACTCGGACATCTGGTGATTTTAGTAATGCGAGTGCTTCAATTGGCATTGATTGTGTTTTTTTCTTCAGCAATTTTCTTTTACTTGAAATTACTGGATCTGAACTTAATAAAAATAAATTTAATATATTTAAATTAGTTTTTTCACGATTACATTTCCTAGAGTTATGCTCTCGATATCTTTTGAAATCATTATTTCGCGCTTCTTGGGCTTCTTCAGTCAACTGTCCTATTGGCAACAAAGCTGATTCAATTATCTCTAGTCCATGTATAAAAAACTTGTGCATCGTGGGTGACATAATATACCACGGATACTTCTCAACAAAATATTTTGCAGTTTTATACGTGTATTCCCGAAACTCATTGATTTTTATTTCGTGTCCACTAGCTACTACTATCATTACTATATGTATTTTTTTTATTATTTCTACGTCTAATTTTGTGATTTTGGCAGATATTTCTGAATTTTGGAAAAAACGTCTGGCTGTGTTCCCATCATTAGAATTTCCAAATCCTGGTTTGGGTTTATCTACAAGTAATCCTAATTTGTCTTTGAATTCTTTTTGGATTCTTAGCTTATTTTCTGAAACAATTTTTTTTTCCACATCTCCTCTAGCTTGTAATTTCTTAAGTGGTAATTTGTAAGACAAATGGAGGAGATATTCGAAAAAACGAATCCACCAGTGTAAAACTGATATCCCAAAAGATAAATTATCAGTTTTTACCTCTCGTTTAACCATTTCATCAATTAAATTAAACTGTTTCGATGTTGCACCACACAAGAAACATTTAAATGTTGATGTCGTATCTGTTAGTGCATTACATATTTTCCCATCGACCATTGCTAAAATCAAATTGTGAGTTACAATAAATGATTTGTTATCAAAAGTCACAATACTATTTATTAACTTATTTATTTGACTCTGAACTTTTTCTTTCTCAGCTATAGATGTATCTGTAGATTCTTTTATAAACTCAATTTTTATAGGCCTGCAATATTTAGTTAATGCAGGACCTGGGTTTTGCCATATAATTTGGTCACCGTTTACCAAGCGAAGTGGAACTATACTTGTAATAAATACAGCCGAATCACTGGCTTCGGGATTACAAAAAGCTTGTTTATATGAACTATATCCAGAGCTGCCATCAAAGCCCCATTTTGAATACAAAACGAACTTATCTAATTTATTTTCTTGGAGTAAGACAATAACAGGCTTTTGCACTAAAAATAATCGTTCTACTGTGTGATCAAGTAATGCTTGTAAAGAAACTTCTGCGTTTGTAGAAGTTACTTGTATGTTTTCTGGTTTTGGATAACACTGTTTTTTACTTTCTTGTACGACTTTGTATGATGGAAATTTATCTGGGGCACTCATCCGAATAATATTGTACTGATGTTTAGATAGCTTTGTACCTACTATAACAGCTAGAGCATCTTCAGTCGATAGTTTTTTAGGTGCTTGTGCTGACTGCTTCTTATATACTTTTCTATATCTACTTGCACGTGTGTGAGTGGATGTAGTTATCTCCTTCAGTAACTTTGCGGCTTCAACTTGTCCCGATGCTCTTAAGCTCATCTGTGTTGCATGACTTAACACATTAACAGACGTATTATTTCTCAGTTCTTGAGTTATTTTTCGTTTGTTTCGTTCACTACTCATCTCAAATGCCACTACTGGACGATCACGATTATTCTGGTTATTTAAAGATACAAATTTAATAGAAGCATTTAACCAGTTTTTATTTTCTATAATAAATCGTTCTTCCACTCTATGTGCCTTTTCCCAACGAGATTTATATTCAGATTTGAAATAAGACAATTTTTTTTCAAATCATTTTGCTCACAGTTTTTCACTCGTTTTTCTATTTCGATTTTTATCAAATTAAATTTTTCATCAATAGTCTCACATCCAGAACTTTTAATTATATCATATAATTTTTGTCTGGATATCAAAACAGTGCTTGAATTCATTCCTACACAAACATTTTTAAACTAATTATGACGTTTGTTTTCATCAACATAATATTTCTATAGATAGGTATCTACTATCAAAATTAGCAATAATTAATACAGACATGAGATAGAACATAAATTATGAGTTCGAAAAGTAAGGAAATGCTTTAATTACTGTTTGTGTATTTTAATGCATACACAGAAAAAAAACATATAACACTGCTACACCTTTGTAAGGTAACATTTTTAATAAACTCATTAATTATAGTATCATATTATCGTTTATCAGTCCCATTAAATCTAATAACTATTACTAAACTTTTTAAACACTTTGTATATTACTCTTTTATGGGAATACTGTACATTTCTTAAAAACCCCTTTAAATATTTAGTTACACTAGACCCACCCTCCCTCTAAAAAAAAAAAAAAAAAATAAAGCAATTTTTTTCAAGTGAAATTGGTATAGGTCGTCACAGTTAGAATTTATTTACACGAAATGGGGCAAATATGGGCAACATTTTTTTTAACAAGGTACTTAATAGAATAATCTATTAAGTATTATATTTTGCAATTTTTAATGCTTGGAAAGCCTTGGAAGTGAACTTAAATTATATATCATTTTCGTGATACAAATATATTATTATTATTATTATTATTAGTTATCTAGGTAAATATTATGTACAACTCTGTAAAACGTATATATTAAACGTTACGTAACTTACCTGTAGCTAATGGTTCCATAATAAATTGAATTGAATACACAAACAATCGCTAAGTTACAGAAAAAAACTAAAATGTAAAATAATATTATTCTGTTGGATTTACACTGTAACACTGTGGACTTATATTATGACCGCTGTAACTAAATCAATTTAAGCCACAACACGTGCACTAAACCGGTAAACTATGCAGTATGAACTCCATTATTGATATATATAAGAATTCGATAAGATAAGTAAAATTTGATAAATGCTATTTTTGCCAGCTTTCGATGTCAATTGCCACACTGTGCATACGTAGGAGCACCCGTATTTGATACAAATTTTTTTTTTTTTTTTCGATAATATTTTCAATTAATATACCGATTACCAATTATATTATGACGGTTAGAAGAAATACCAATAGCTATTCAATTTTAAATTCTTCTTCTTTCTATCAATTTTATAGGTGGGGTACGTGCCCGTGTGCCCCATAGCACGAGCCGCCACTGATCCTAACTCTATGGATTACTGTGATATTCTGATAATGTAAAGTAAACATGTGATTCGCCATGGGTACGTGAAAAATAGAAAATAGCAGTTGGAGTAGCAATTGCTGTTATTTTCACGATGATTTTTTTTTTATCACAGTAGCAATATCACAGTGCGATAAATATTGTTCACTGTTTAACATCACTTATTCCGCGACAGGTAGACCGACGTGGTCAACCGTCATCGGTTGACCGTTATATTTTTTCGTCCACCGATTGCTCCGCACACGGATTCTACGTTTCGTCCGGCTCAGCACAATCGTCGCGGTCCCGTGCCGTCAACACAGTCAACACAGTTTCTCGCTCGCGCCCCTAGATTTCTGTTCAGCGTATCGACGAATCTTCCGTTTTTCACGTTTACCGTTCGCCGGTAACCCGCGGCGTGGTGGACGAATCATCTCGCCGCGAACGGAAATGTCTCATTTAGAGTCGAGCGTTGAGTGTCTGTACGGACATGGCAACGAGTCCGAAGAGGAAGCAGAGAACTTGGAAATCATGGAAAACGTGGCCGTGAGTACTTGCGTTCGTATTTCTTACCGGTGCGTAATGGTCGGTCTTCCGGCCAAATGATTCGGAATCCCCCGTGTATCTATTACGAACGCTGACGTCGTAGATTTCCAATGTCAATCGTTCGAGTTCCATCGAGTCATACGCTATGGAAAACAAACAAATCACGTCTAGTGATGCGCAAACAATATCGATATTATTGTTTCATCAATATTACAATCTGATAATATCGAAAATATCGTATCGAATTTTTAACCGATTACTACATCATTATTTTTACTCGATCTTTCAATGTTATTTCATATTATGATGAAATGTCTTTATAATTACTTCGGTTATCGGCTATTGGGGCAGCGCATTTGTTAATATTATAGATACTATGTATATTACCCCGAACTCGGCGATAGTTTTCAGAATTCTCCGCCGCACTCGACGACACCGTGTTAAACCATAGATAAAAGTTAAACTAAGACCTATAGTCGAATAAAATATAAACCATAAAGTATAATTAATGTATAGGGCTCGGAACTTCATGCAATAACAATTAGAAAAACGCTTAGAACTCAATTCATAAGTAAGAAATACATTTTGTTTTTGCCTGCAAAACGATTGCATTGAACCACTAAACAATTTTTAATGTTTTTAAAAGTTGAATGATCTCCGATTATCCTATTATTATATTAATTATTATAATTATATTAATGTAATCAATTAATGCAATCAACGATAATCAATAAATTGATGTGGGTAAATTTAAATGAAACTGGAAATTTTGTGTCAACTCGGAATTAGAGAATTGTTATAGGTACAATATCTAATGAAGTTTTCAAAATAAATATTTTTTGATTATTGCAACATTCTAACATTTTTAAATTTTATTATAAATTTAATAATAATCATCAAATATGCTCTAAAAAATGGCTAAATTAAGAAATATGCGCTTAAAATTACCGAATCACTAAATATGAAAAAATATGCATTAAAAAATTTTATTATGTTTTTTGTAGAGTCATGATAATAATTTCAAGCTTACTTAACACTAAAATTGAATAGCTCAATAAAAATATGCAAATGCAACATCTACCGAGCCCTAGTAATATAATATTTACATTTCACAGTGTCCGACTGTCGTCAATCGTCTGTTAGTAACTACAAAAAATTATTTATTTTTGTATAAATAAATTGTAAAAATGAGCTTGAATATAAATAACAAAAGTGAAACTTCAAGGGGGAGTTCTTCATGAATTCCATAATATTTCACTAAAGTTAATCAATATTTGCGTAAGGGTAATATTTGTACAAAAGTTTATAAACACCGAATAGTAGTGTTTAAAATTTAAAAAAACAATTTTAGAAGCCAAAATTAGTTATCAAAAGCAAATAGGGAATCGATAAAAAAAGACAATTACTGCCTTTATTAGAAAATTAATAAAAAACAAATATTAGGTAAAACAATGCGGTAAGTATTAAAAACTTGTATTTCTACAATCTAAAGATATTTAGATACATTTTGGTTCTAATATTCTAAATTTTTAACTCATCAATTGTAAATATAATTAGAGAATTGTTTAAATATATAATAGGTACTCAATAAAAAATTATAATATTAATCTATAAATTTATATTATTAAATTGATGTTTCGATTTATTAGTCCCTATAAAATTTTATATATCGATATATTCTTCACCTATATATCGATGTATAGTTTTCGCAGTGGTCAAAATGAACCTTTGACGCGACAAGGTTTACAACTTTATCGTCATTCCATCATTGTCAATAATTAAATTATCAAGTATAATTTTATTTTGAATTATTAAGATTTATTAATCAATTATCCATGCCGTATAAACAAAATCAATATTTATAAGTGGCATATAAAAATCTGCAGTGCAGACCGATTCCAGACAATTTTATTCCAAATACTAGTACCTGAGAACACTATTTATAGTCAGTAATATAATACACTACTTATGACTATAATATACTATATTACTACCCATATAAATTAACAATTTCAAAACAAAGTTAGATATTTGTCTTATTTTTTTCCAATTACGTTTTAATTCTTTTTTTATGGTCTTAGAGAAAATACTAACTATTTTATTCAATGTATCCATATAAGACATGAATATATTTTTAAAACTTTTTTACATTTTTTTATGATTAAAAGTTAAACATCATTATGACATTTTTTGAAGTATTTGAAAGTATCTATGAATACTTTTTTGTACTATCTGTATTTGTATTTGAATAATTTTTTTTATCAAGTTTTCAAATATGTATTTTAAATACTTTTGAATACACGTATATATCTATATCTGAATACTTTTAAAAAGTATCTTTTATAAGACTGTGTGTACAGAATATTTGGCCTAGCATATGTAACGAGAAGTGCATTTTAGGGTCCTCTGATGTATTTTAATGGTATCGATATATATATATATATATCACCCCCTCGATTTATAAAAATTTATCTAATGCATTTAAATAAATAAGCTTTACATATGATTGAAAGAAAAATCCTAACGATCGAATAGAAATTTTACAAGACTGTATCTAGTCTGTTTACATCCGTATAAAATCCACGTCGGTGCTATCGTCAATAATGGATGATGTGTATACTTTAAGTACTTAAGAATACTATATACCATATATATCGTTTTCTTTTTTGCTTTAAGTCTCCTCTCTACCAACCAATGTCTAGTTATTAATACCAAGTCCGTACGATTAATATATTTATTTATTTATTTATTTTTATAAACGGACGTGAGTTCTTAACAATTTTTTGTGTGTATACATGGTAATAATAATACATTATATAGTTATAATTTACAAATATAGACAAGAGTATTAAAAGAATAAATAACAACAAAGAAAGAAATAGGGCGAGACATGCGAGACAATAAACATATTGCTATTTAATTTCCGTACACATACAGTATTTATTCACATACATAGTATTTTAACATTTATTGACTTAGATAATTTATAAGAAACTCAAAATTTTAAATTTATTTTATTTTAAATTATTTTTAATCAACAAATAATTTTAATTTTGTTTTCAAAGAGTTTTTTTTAATGACTTATAATATAAAACTGAATTGAAATCACTACACAGTAATAATAAAAAATCATAATAAAATAATAAGATAAGGTATCAGAAAAATATGATTTTATTTTTCACAATTAAAAGTATATTGTTGGCCAACATTAATTATTTATAAAATTTCGAATTGAATTGATTGATTAGTTATCTAATCAGGTTAGATCAGGTTAAACTTACATCGGTATCAGTACTTATCTGTACTATGTCTATTTAATAGTAATTTTTTTTTTTTTTTTAGGACACCAAAAAAATTGTAAATATGAAGACTTATTGTATTCAAAACGAAGATGAAATTTCTAATATTATAAAAAATAGTTCTGAAACAATAAAAATAGTTTTTAAAAACATAAAAAAAAGATATAATACAAAAAGTTATTCTACAGAAAAGGATTTTTTTTTATTTGAAGCCAGCCCAATAATATTACAACAAAATAAATCCAACATGAACTTTTTAATAATGTTTGAAAATGTAAAAAATGAATTTGGTGAATTTTTTAGTTCATTAGTTAAAAATTTATCTGAAAATGATGTAATTGTAATTGTTAATGGAATCGTTTCCAACAAAAATAACTACTATCGTGTTTACGTTCAACCAGAAAATAATTCCTCTGTTTTCTTATTTAAGTTGAATAGCTTATCTTCAGAAACAAATTTATTTCCAAATGAAAATCTTTCTAAAATTTCTGGAACCGGGATTTATTCAATATTTGGTTACGTAAGACAAACTGCAATTTCTGATTACAAAGAATGCATGTGGCTAAGAATAAAATGTTTTGATAAATCTTTGATTAATATTCTCATATATCCATTTGCTGTTCATGATAATAGAAAATTAAAAAATTTTGAAAAGTCTTCAAATCAAGTTGATATCTTAGTAGAAAATCCATGTGATAATTTCATGTCATTGGTATTTGATCAAAAAATACTCTTAAGAAATGTGAAAGTAAACCGTGTAGATAATTCTGATTGTTTTTTATTATGTGTTCAAGGAATAACAGATAATTTAAAAGTTATTAAAATAGATAGTAATAAAAATTATCTTACACCGTTGCAACAACAAACTCAAATAAATAAATTAACACCTACAACTAGGACAAAAGCAAATCAAATACCTAGTCACGTCGAAATTAAACCAACATCAACCAGTCATTTAAAAGATAAGTGTGTACCCAATTCATCTTCAAACTGTTATGCAAAATTACTACGTTCCCGTGATAATAAATGTTCATCCAATTTTGCGAAAAAAAGAGTTGGTAAAAGAACTAATTGTTCTAAAGAAAATATCACAAATAAACCAAGAAAAATTGTTAAACAAAATCCTCAAACTGTTGTTATGGAGGTCAACGAATTAAAAAGAATACACAGTATTGAATTAAAAAAATTTACTCCAAACGTTGATGGAATGTATTTTTTTTTATCTAGCAACAATCTTGATGCATTTGATAGTAATATATCCAACCCGGGTCCACATTTGCAAATATTACATTTGAATTATCTCAAAGAAGAAAAATCGTTGAGAGGGTGTGCCATACGATGTATTGGTCCTTGTAGGCCTATAAATATTGAACCGAATCTTATACTGGATGATAACGATAGTTCAGACTTTCTGTCCGGTTATTGTGATAATTGTTTTTCTTTCACGCCTAAATCTTATCTGATACCCTGCAAGATCCTATCAAATGAAGAATATAAATGTTCTAAATGCTATAATTTTGTTTATCTTCATTTTTTTTTCAATTTATACTTTTTATATGGGAAAAATGAAACTCAAGCTATAAAAATATCCTGTTATAGTAAGACGGCTGAACGCATTTTAAAAAAACTATCAAAGAAAAATATCAAACTTGAAGATTATTTATTGAATTATAATTGTAGAAAATTGGTTTTAAATACTATGAGAAAGTTTATGCTCAAGAAAACTAAAGTTAATTTAATTGTTTTGAATTCACCACTTGATAATACATTTGTACTTGTTTCCCTAAGTACCAAAAATATCATGAATAATTAGAACTTCATGTTTATGTATACATTTATAATACGAATTATTAAAAATATTATTGTATTAAAATAATATTATTGTGTACTTCTAACAAATGATAACAAACATTGTTAATTCTATAATAAATTGAAATAAAAAAATAATAATACTTAGTAAATTTTATAAAACTAAAATTAACATTATTATCAAACAAATGTATTTAACATAATGTGTTGAATTTTTTTATTGCAGTTAAAAAACCAATAAATTGAGTAACCATTATTTTATTTTATTATCAATATTTGTTGGTTGTAATATAAGTACCAGACATTTCAAATGATATAAAACAGTTATTAATCATAAAAAAATTTGCATTGGATAATGATTTAAAATGTATGCTATTATTTCGGTTGGAAATTAATTTAACTTAAATAATTCTGTGTTAAAATTTTATTTCATAATAATACTTCATTGAACAATTGACTGTTTAATGATACTTTAAAGTTTCCTAGAACAGAAAATTACATGTGTATTATTGTATGTCTTTTGTACTTAAATAAAAAATACTATTCGAAGAAAATTACTATAGTATCACTTTAATAAATAAATACAAACACATAAATAAATTAAGTATATAAATTTACTAATATCCTACACCAGGTTCTTAACTTATGATCTGCGATACTCATGTCGTGGGCCCGCAGCAGTCTTAACACATAACATACATCAATACATGACACGAGGGTATTATTATAATATTTTTGGATTACCTAATATTATTAATTTTTTTCATATATTTTTTATTTTATAATACTGTAGAACTCGTTCAAGACAATTTCCCGTTTAATACGCTCATTTTTACGAGTCCCTTGATTTTGTAAACATTTAACATGTAATTAACTCTGTATAATACGCCCTATGTTCCAGGATAATACGCTCGTCTTGTCAATGATGTTCATATAAAAATATATTGTATATACATATACATTGTATAAAATTTAAAGAAATATCTTACTAATTATAACGATAACGAATAATAAAAAATAGTAACAAATGCACTCGATCATGTTAATGAGCTAAGAAGATTAATTGCATCTTTTGACAACGCTGCCGAAACGTTACATAATCCTAATAAAATTGAAAATTTGCTGTATTCAAAATACATCAAAACATTAAAACAATGAAAGATAGACGATTTTTTGAAATAGGTAATATAAATGTAATAATTCACTCTGCAAAGTAAAAAATATAATTTATATGTATATAAAATGGATGTATTGTAAAATATAATAAATTTTTTTTGTAATGCGATTTCCCGCTTAAGACGCTGTTTGTAACTGGTTCCTTGGAGAGCGTCTTAAACAGGTTCTACTGTAGATAAATTTTATCATTATATGATGTTATAAGACTTACGTCTCAACCGTCGCATTAAGCTTATAAAAATTACATTTAAATAATATTAAAAAAAAAAATTAAAACTAAAATAATTAAATTTAAGTTAACTGAAAAATTAAGTGAAATAAAAATAATTACAAATATGTATGTTTTGTTTTGTCTATTAATGTAATTATATAAAATAATTATTATAATTTTGATTTTAATAACATGAGATTTTTTGTAAAAAAAAAAAAATATATTCGAAAAATAAACTAGAAAGGGGGTCCGCAATTTCTAAAAATCTTTCAGGGGGGGATCTGTGATCTATAAAAGGTTAAGAACCGCTGCACTACACTATTAACTTATATTTTAGTACTTACACGGGTCATGTGTAACGTGATACTTACAGAAGTACTTCAGAACTTTATGAACTTGTATGATACATTTATATAATGTCGGAAGTTATAACTTATAATTCCAGTCAGGGTCCCCTTATCGAATTCTCGGCCCCTATACCAAATGTTTGTCCGGGCCCTTTATATAGACGAATTGTTATTAACGATCACGTCAGTCTTCGAAGTTGATTTAAAAAAATTTGTTATAGAAAGATCATTTTTTACTTCTTTAACATCTTTTTCTAATTTTTTTCTGCCTTTTAGAGCATCTAATTTATACTTATATATTATTTAATTATTTATGTGTACAAAGATGATCGGGATTTCGGTGTGTACAACGCGGTGTATTGCACAATACTGATTAAATCTAGCTAGAACGCTTTGTATTAAAATTTGTGATTAGTGAGTAATTAGTCACTTATATTATGTATCGTTACAATCCATTACAACTTCAAAACGATATGGAAGACTCAAACATGATAATTTCAAGGTAATCATTGGTTAACCCGTTTCTCAAACCGTCAAAATTACTAAATATACCTATACTATATATATATATAACATATTTAATAAAATATTACTTTATAATATTTTTTAGTATAAAACAAGTATTTCTATTAAAATTTTAAAATTACAAATTATTTCAACGGGCCCACGGGCTGTTAAAATAGCTGGGCCCCTGTACTCTAGGTCCAGCCGCCCCCCTCCCTTGTAGGGGCTCTTATTCCAGTTAATGCCGGGTCCACAAGGAGACGACAAAACAGAAATTCAGTGGTTTTTGACAAAACCAAAATATTTTGAAAACGATTGTGATTTTTCCAACAAATAGTTAGTGTTTTCAAAAAAAATTCGTGTTCAATACGCAAACATTAAAATGTTTTATTTTGTTATTGTTTTGATAAATATTATCAAACGAGTGTGGACAATGTTTTGAAAATAACCAACAGGTAATAATTTTTGGAATTTCACGAGTAGTATCAATATAGTAATCTATAAAGATATATTTATGTGTTTTTCGTAATTAATAATTTGTTGTCTATCTTTAGTATTAATTAGTCTGTCGTTAATGTTATATTGTTGAGGTACGGCTGTGTTTGATTTAAATTTAAAGAATTTATATTATTTAAGTTTTATTTTGTTTAAAATCTATATGAAAATCTATACTCAAATTACTTATTATAATTGAGTATAGATTTACTTATTACTTATTATAATAGCTAATTATAATGCTATAAAAAGTTTGGAGTTGGAAAAGAATTTCAACAAAACTTTTCAATTTTTTTCATTTATTTTGAATTTTTGTCTAACTTGGTATGAACACATGTTTTGTTTGTGTTTTGTTTTTTTAAAATAAAAAAGTTAAGTTTGTATTTTGTTTCTGTGTGGATTCAGCATAAGATATTTGAAATGTAAAACACAATTTTTTTATGATTTATGACAATATGTTTTCTAACTACGATCCATTTACCATATAATATAAAAATGAAACAGTAATACTTCATTGAGAATGTATTTTATTGCTCATTAATATGTACAATGTACGTGTAAGTATTCATATTTCACAAATTTCTGTAAAATACAACTACATATGTAAAATCTATTTTAATATGAACTATTTTTAAAAGACATTTTTTACGAGTATAAAAAATTAATAGACTATAAAATAAATTATATTTAATACAAAAACAATTTACAAATTCATATTTAAAATATTTCTGTTTTTTTAGACATTGAGAATGATTGGTTTTAAACCACATTATACCACATAGCACTATTATAGTTTATTTGATAAATACAGTGCTTTTTTTTTTTGACAGACTGATTTTAAATTATTTTTGTAAGGTACTTTTAATCTAACTACAATTAAAACTAAAAAATTTTAATATTTTTTTATTTCAAAAGTTTGCTAACTAGTAATTTAAATGAATGTATTTATATATTTAACTAATTTAAAAGATATTGGTTTATTATTTCTTCGATTAACTGTAAGGCCATTGTTGCATTAAAAAAACATTTTGCGTACTTCCATATTTTAGGACAATCAAGAACTCTTATAATCAACTTTATTTTTGAACTAATGATATCATTTTTGTTAAATTTTCATGAATACAATTTTTTCTTAATTTTTTTCGTGAAATACTTGATTATTAAATGTATTAGTATCAAGTATAGCTTATGCATTTTCCTTTGTAAAATCTTTGATATGCCACTAAGTCCGTACCGAATACTACTAATGTTACATTAGAAGGTTAGTATCGTAACTAGACTACTCGAGGCCTGTGTGTAAATCAAAATCTCGAGGCCCCTTTTTAATATACAATCTTCAATAGCAACTAAAAAAATTAACAAATTAAATTTTAAAGGGGAAGACATTTTTAAATTTAAAATTTTAAATAAAATATGATCCAAAATATCTAAATAAATATGATAGTTTATTATTGAAATAAATCGAAATTGACTGTAAAATACTATATCAAAAGAGTATAAAAAATTGTATCATAGTTTCATTTCTACCTATATTTTTAAACATAATACTTAGGGTATGTTCAGTGCCGGATTACCAATTAGGCGGAGTAGGCGCTCGCCTAAGGGTCTCACACATTTAAGAGGCCCTATGAAAACGGAAAACTATAATTTTTTTCATTTAATAATACCTGTTTTTTTTTTACGAATTTACGGGACAAAAGTCATTATGAAATATTATATATATTAAATTATAGATGTTATATGCAGAAATAATAATAAAATTATTTTGAAAAAAATAGAAATAATATAATAATTAATTAGTTTTTCTTGCGAATAAAAAAATGTAATGAACATGATTTTATTTATTAATAATAGTTGGTTGTTATTAAAGCTGTTTATTTTAATTATCGGATAATCATGTAAAAGATGTATGTAAATAATTTTGTAGGCCCAATATTTTAATTGCCTAGGGACCCACAAATGTTTAATCCGGCACTGGGTATGTTATTGGGCAAAAACTATTAGTTTGCTAGAACAAAATTATTTAATAATCATTAAAAACATGTTATACAAAATAAAATTAATTAATTAATACTAAAAAACATTATTTGTGATTTATTGCAAAATTGTAATTAATCGCAGAATATAGTTATTCTGTAGATTGATATCATTATGTACATTCTTTAGGGGGAGAGGGAGCCCGTTCAACAATTGATAAAAATATAATAATGATTATAAAAACAAATATATTTATTTATTTATTTTTTTAAATATGATTTATAGATGAAAACATAATGCAATAAGAAGGATGCGAGGAAAGGGTTATTTGTAAAGATAGTAAATAACGTTGATTTCACAAAAACCGGGTTGGTTTCACAAACATATATTGATGTTTTCATACGTGCCATTGGACCTTTTGAGACCCCATAATATAGAATGAGGCCCGGGGCCTGTAAGCAATGTGCACTCTGCATACTCGGCATTTTACGGCACTGATACCATAGTAGATAATTATAGTTACTTATCTATATATAGGTATATAAACTCATAAGGTACCACATTCCGTAGTAAAATGTAGAAAAAAAATCTATTTCATAATAATTTATTCACTGATTTGTTTCAATAGTAAACATCATTATTTGTATACAATACTACTGTTTTTCGCATTCGACACCACTACGATACAAAAGAAAATAAAACCCACTACAATACAATTAAGTTTTATCACAAAATGCTTTTCTATTAAATCGTAAACATAAATCTTAAACTTGTGTATGTAAAGTATAATTAGTTGTATACTAATAATAATGAAGTAGCTTAGAACAGACTGAAATCGCTACGTCAAAGGAAATAAAAGCCTATATAATACAGAAGTAAATTGACAGCTATTTTATTACAATCGCTTTTAAATAACAATATACATCGCCTATACTCGTAAATGAAACATTATTGTTATTATTATATTATCCTAAGAAGTAAAAAAAAAAAAAAATTACATAGTTTTTTAATTTTTGTACAGCAAAAAACATTAACATATGTACAAAATAAAAATAAATAAATAACAGATTGCAACTAACCCAATAAAAAAGCAATCAGAAAAAGGAAGTTGTAAACACAAATCAATTATTATTGTTATTGATCGTTACGTTGTAAATCATAAATCGTGTACGAAGTTTTTATGAATATTTGCGTATGTAATTATATATACATGTTGAACGACCATAGAAAATTTATTGTAATTCTTTGTGGACAATATTTTGCAATACATTGTGTACGATTCAATATTAATATCAGGGCCGGCGTTAGGGGTGGGCAACCTGGGCCTACGCTCAGGGTACTTGTTGAAAGGGAGGGCCTCATTGATATAATGTTAAGACTGAAAAAATTATAGGAATATAATTCTAATATTCTATCCATTATATTAAATTTTACTTGTTATGATAGGTATATAATAATTTAGTTCATAGATAATAAATTAGGTATTGTCAGTCGTCGTTCGTAATCACTATTTATTTAGAATTTATATATTAACAGCATCAGATAACGATTTAATATAAAATTATTTGCGCATTATTATTTATTCTTCCAGGACGCCAATGACTTTATTGCGGACACTGATTAATATAAATGTTATGTAATACTTTATAGGTATAATAATTTACAAGAGAAGAGTTACAATATCAGTCAATGACCGATTGAGGTTTACAGAGTTATCGTAAAATTATTAGTCATATAATACCTATTAAAAATAAAAATAATAATATACCAATCTACAATTAATGTCTGCAGAACATAAATGTATAGAAATACCCGTAAACGAAGTTAACCATTGACAAGAGGAAACTTATCGATTTACACTACTACTATAGATAATTTGCGCATCATTCATTCGAATTCGATGATACAATTTAACTGTTTTCCCAAGTACGTACTCTATATACAATAAAATGTATCGTATGAGTAAGTTAAAAAAATATCGATCGAATGTTATGAAATACATAAAATATTGTGGGCAATATACAAAAATTAAATATTTTAAAAATTAATTAATTAAAATTTTTTTTCGTACCAATCTCAATCGCGCTTAAGTCAAAAAGTTTAAAAACCTAACCTAACGACAGTTGTTTAACAATATTTGAAATTTCAATTTTATTGGCTTAAAACCAAATTTAACTAGCATTAAAAAAAATATATACATATATATATATATATATATATATATATATTATTCTCTATAAATATTGACACATTATTGAAGCGTAATCTTAACTAACTTTTAATGGTGACTTATTTAGTAATATTAATATTATAAGAATTATTATTATAAGAATCTTGTTAGCGTCACTCGTTAGTAAACTGTATCAATTATTTTTGGTCTCCGAGAGCATCCAAGCAAACATTGTAAGTGTTAACAAATACTTAAGAATGTTTAGTTATAATACATCACCATAAACAGTGTATTTTGTATAATGTTCATGTTAAAATCCATCAGAATTCAACTAGATCTGAGAGAATAATATTTGACTCTAATATTTGTGTACTTTTCGCTCTTTGTAAAACTGGGCAAGTCAAAGATATATTTGAATTGAGTTTACAATTTAAATTAATAAAAATGTTGAATATTGTTTAATTTTATTTAAATTAAGTAAAAAATAAACATACTAAGCTTAAATTAAATTAATTTTATGAAATCCAAATATAATATTTAAAAACCAAAATAGTTAAGTATGTAATTATTTTTTATAAGCACTTAGCTATGTAGGTTTTACTTGGCTGTTTTAAAGTTATGCACCGGGTTCGAATTTTCATTGATTATGTGAGAAAAAAAATATAATTCCAATTTATAACAAAACTAATGCATTTCTTGCAAACATATTTTGCTTTAACTAATCAATGAATATTTTTAACAGTCAATAAAAAAAAACAAAAAAACTAAGTAAACTGAATTAACTATCTGAATTATTAGTTGTATGTTTTGATGTCACCATATTGATAAACGAATTTAAAAGCATATTTTTCCCATCAATGTCTTTATTTACGTTCTCTAAAAATATTAAATATAATATTATATTATAATATAATATTTCACTAAATATATTTCTTTCAATCACATTTATTCCTTGATAATTATTATCTTCTCCTTATCATTCTGATATGATATTCTTTATTATTATATCATTATTCATTATTATCACCTTAATAATGATTTGCTGTTATTTCTATATTGTTGCTTTTATAATAATATTTAAATATACAAAAAAAATTAATGTTCCACTTAAAGAGAAAAGAATAAATATTTTCTGATTAACTGAAATCTAACGTGAGCTTAATTAAGACAGTAGTATGAATATTATGTTAATTTTATGTCAATTCAAGTAAAAAACATATAAAATGTATTCATTTACATTTAACTGAAACTCATTAGACTCGATATTGCCCAGTTTTACTTTTGTGTACCAGTTAATTACGAAAAAGGATGGAGCATATTGTGGCAAACTTATAAGAAAGATATAATACAAGTTAAAAATATTAGTAATGAATTTAAATATCATAAGACACGTGAAAAAAATAGTATAATTTTAAATATCGGTATAAAAAAAAAAAACGTATTATAACATTTAGACATGAATACGTGATCGTTCTTATAAATAATTCAAGAAATACTTCGTACACCCATTATCGGTACCTAAATAGGATTATACAAAACGGATTGCCAAAGTTTCGTTATCAAACGAAAACGGGATACTTCTATTCTTAATTTAAATCTAAAATGCAGACGGTTTGATACCATACTTCAATAAAGAAAATGGGAGTACAGTTTAGGTCCGCAATTTGAAAAAAAAATATCCATAAAATTTTTTTTCTTTTCACAAATCTTAACCTCGGAAAGTCCATTTACAACCTATACAAAACAAGAGGTAATTGCAGAGTCGTGCCATGAGGGTAGCCTAGGGGGCATACGCCACGGGCGCATGGTTTAAAGGGGGGCCAAACATTTTTTTTTTTTATATTTTAAACTTTTACATAAATAAAATATACGAGAATGATTATTTCATTTTACAATTATTTTGGATCATTACAAATTTTTTCTGAAGAAATTTCCGACTATGTTCGAGTAACAATAACAATTAGTCAATGTAACATAGTAATACCAACTATTTTGTTTAATAATTACATTTACAATCAGCTTTAGTTTTTTGTCAAATCAATGATCGAAATAAGTAGTAAAAAAAAAAAGTTAAATTAAACAGGAATATAAAGCGTTATGATTAATGATAAATAAAATAGAGGACGAATGTTTTTAATTTTGCCGTGGGCGCTAAATATTAACGGCACGGCTCTGGGTGATTGTGACGTGGACAATTTTGCGTTCTTCGCTTTTTAAAGAAAACATTTTCATAAAGTTGTCCTTTTCTAAAAATTACGTACACCAAAAACCGCCCACAGAATGTGACCTACTGTGTATTACGGCTAACCCATTTAGAGCACAAGACCATTTACCTCGTGTGCTCAGTTTGAACGAATCGATCACACGGTCCATTTATGTCGTCGCTGTTAGCGCGCACGGAGTTTTTCCGAAAACCATTGTTGTCATTCGTTCGAATCGTCTGCAACGTCATATACATCGTTTTTCACCCGAAGCCGTATGGTGTTTGTCGAGTGGGTGCGCCACGATAGCGGATCGCAATTATCATTGTTAAAAACCAAAACACCTAATGCGGCTACGTACACCTAGACAACCTAACGGTACACTAACATGGTTAATAGATACGAAAGAGAGGGAAAAAAATTAATGAAAATCGAACGGATCTTCCGTACGCGTCTGCCGAGGTTTTCGGAGTCAAACGTGCGCCCGTCGGAGACGTTACATGGCTCTCAATAACGTGACGGGTTCTGCAACAGGGCTGCGGCTCGGTGGGACGTCGCAGGCACCGCGGTCGTCGGGTACGCGGATACGCACGGCCCCGGTCCGCGGATTTCAGGCGGCGGCGGTGCGGCGTGCACGGGTTGAAGAGGCGCGACCGGCTGCTGTTGGTAAGCGGCGTCGTGGAGCTTCCGCAAATGTTTCTTCAGGTCGAAGTTCCGGCAAAATCCTTTGCCGCACACGTGGCACGTGAACGGTTTCTTGTCGTTGTGCGTGTGCATGTGAAACGTCAGGTTGTACACCTGCGCGGGAAAACAGAAAGGATAAAATCGTTAAAATTCAACCCGACCGCAACAACATTCGAGCGCGGGGAGATGTTGTTCGCGCACGTTTCAGGCTAAAACTACGAATTTCGATGTCCGGGTACGCTACGCGTCCGACCATTGCGGATCGGAGTTTTGCAAAAAAAAAAAAAAAATGTTTATCCTTGTGCGTTATACGTATACGCGTATCGCGATGGTTTATTAGATCTTTTCGGTTTTCTCGGCCGGATAACGCGTGTTTTTTACATCTCACTTATCGCTCGTTTCCAAATTGGTTTTTTTTTTCGATCGCTTACAATTGCTCCCCCTCTTCCGGTTGCGACGTCAAATGCGCGAGCGGGTGAACCTTATCAAACGTACGCGTTCTTTTAACGCAGCCAACTGAAATTGTCCGTTAGCTTTTTAGAGCGATTTTATGATGAGTATACCACAATAGGTATGATTCATAGGTAGATACATATATTTTGATTGAAATATTTACAGTATCATTGCCGAGAGTGTTGTAATATCAGTAATAAATATTTCAATGGTTAGTAAGGTTAAATAAAATTCGGTGCAGAACTATAATATGATGTATATGTATATGTAGTATGGTGTATTTTAATATGATTTTGATACAAGAAAATCTAGAAATTATCATTTATTTTCATCTTTTGCTTTTTACAATTAAAAATAAATTTTATTCGCGTTGTTCTATCTCATGTATATCAGTTGAAAGTCGATTGAAAACAAAACGACGACGGTTCACTAATCGTGAACATTTATAGGTTTTTTATTGTTATTATTATTTTTTTTATTATAATTTTGAAAACGGTTTAACGGTAAAGTTACGTGCCCGCCACGCCAATCCCTGTGGCTATCTTACCTGATGGAAAGCTTTATGGCACACGGTACACTTGTACGCCTTCTCCACGCTGTGCGTGAGCTTGTGGTTCTTGTAGTTGCCCTTCTGGTGGAACCCTTTGCCGCAGTACTCGCATGTGTACGGCTTGTAGCCGGCGTGTATCCGTGTGTGCGTGTTCAAAGTCGAGCTCCGGTTGAACGCTTTGCCGCAGATGGTGCACGAGTGTGGTTTCTCCTCGGTGTGTATGATCTTGTGGCGGCAAAGTGTGGACGCTTGCCGGAACCCTTTGCCGCACACCTACAACGTCGCGGGAACAGAAATGTAGTTACGTGTTAGTATGCTACTCCTAGACCACGATAATACTATTATAATTAGAGTGATTGGAGACGTTCGCACGAGATGATGGTCCCTACCATGAGATTTACGTGCCCCGTCCCCTCTAGTCTTGCGATATTTTGTCTGCGTTTGGGTCGCTCGTAGAATACACGTGCTCAGACGATTCAAATTTTGTACGAAAAAATTACCGTTTATTTAGCATTCACACCTGTGCAGTTGATGCACATTTATATACATATATTAAATACCTAGATTTTTCGCGAAATTTGTTAATCATTTGATACGTCTACTGTATACACTACACACGTTATTGCTTTTGATACATACGAATTATATGTTAAAAACCGTTAAAAGATTTTTATAATACATTTATTTATTAATTTATAAATATCTAAGTATTTTAGGATCAAAAACGTTAAATATTCTATTTAGCATCGTAATACTGAAATGGTGTTCGAACAAAACAATAATAATACGCAATTTTACTATTATGAATCGAAAACGAACTTATTATGTAGTATCTCGTGCGAAACACGCAACAGTGCTTCGAATGAAACAATTTTTGTAAATGGTATCGTGATTATTAGAAGCCAGTCGCTGAGTGCCTCGTCTGAAAGATTTCTTATCGTGATTCACAGAACAACGGTGGCTGGTGAGTGTTCGGGCTTTCGTGGATCCGTCCGGGGTTCTCAAAACGTAAACGTAAGTCAGAAATAAAAACCGTGATATTACATTTTTATTTTATAGAGATTATTTTATTGATATGTTAACGGAGCTACAGGTATTATATTGCACCGGTGAATTTATATTTCAAGTAGGTTCTTCTGATCTATCCGCACCAATATTGGTTTTGGAAAACATTTTTACATTATTATGTTTTTCCGAAGTTTAAAAATAATAATAAAAAAGAAACACAAAAACGCTAATCGAAAAAATATCGAAATATTTTCTACATGACTGACTCGGTGGTATTGGCAGGTACATTAGTTGTATGGTACGAGTGTATTGGTTATCCCCTCAAACTGCACGTGATCAATTTAGGGTGCACGCAATATTTATTACTGCTCAGTTTTTAATACTTTTTTCTGCCTTTTCGTTTTTTTCGTGGTCTGCAGGTTTAAGTAGATAAGTACTTAACCCATTATTGATGTCATATACACAGGCACATAACTGAACTGTATGACATCAATAATGGGTTAGCTACATGATTTTTATTATTTTACTTTAATCCATACGCTCATATCATCATGTACCTCTACTGATCACTAGGGAACGGATTTATATGTAATAAAAATACAGAAACATGTACATATGTATGTAAGTATAATTTATAAAATATATGCTAAAAACATCCAAATATGTAGGAAAAAAATTAAATTAAAAAAAAAAAAAATTATAATTATTAAATTATCAAAATGATTTGTTGCATTGAATTATTACAATTTCTTTTAAATTATCAAATATTAAATGTCGCCTATTAGATCTGAAAATATTTTTAAAACAGCTAAATTATTGTTCTACATCAACCTACATCAGTCGATTAAAACATATTTGAAGCACATAATATCAGAAGGCGATAATTCAAAATTTTTAGAAGGGTATCTGCCACTCATTATGTCATTGATTGATTTAAAATCAATACAGCCTAGATTTTTTTTCTGTAACAACATGAATTTTCTTTTTTACAACATCTCCTATTGGTCCGCTTACCAGTTTTCATTTTGCAATCGTTGATTCGACAATTTGCATACTTTCATTTAAGGACATATTTTTGTTTCTAATTTTGTAAATGTATGTGCAATAAAACTAAAATTCACTGAGATGAAAATATAAATTAGTTTTTAATGTTTCATTTTTCATAATATTTTGAGCTTTTCTAATAGCGATAGAACTTACTGGATCTAAATTTGAAATAATTTCTTGTACTTTTGTACAAAGAAAACGTATGAATGATAAAATGATAAAATACATTTAAAAATAATTACAAATTAGTGAAATATCTAAAAATATGTAATTATACCAAAATATGAAAAAATATGTAAAATAAAAGTAGCATCATATTAATAGGAATTATTAAGACCATGATCATTTCTTATCGAATCTTAAATATCTCGTTTTAATAAAAATATGTATTTACATATAAATTTGTTCCCTACTGATCACCATAATCATTGTAACATTGTTTAAACTTTAAAGGTATAAGAAAAATAAAATGTAATGAAAATTATAATAATTCAAAGTTTATTATGTGTTGAATTCGTTCGTTATTTATTAATCATTATAGTACATCGACGGAGCATATTTTTAGAATGCAAACAACAATTGTTGAGAATATTTTATAGTTGAATTTAAAATGTAATCATTAATTTATTTATTCAAATAAATGTTGAATTATTTATTTATTTATCTAATAAATTAAATAAATTAAAATTAAATACACAAAAAAATTAAACGGGCAAAGCCCTGTTACAATAACAACAACCATACAATCGGTGATAAAAAAATCTTTGAATTCTCTGTCGATGTTTTGATAAATAAATTTTAAAATTTTCTTTGCATCTAAAAATTAATTTTATACATTTTTTTTTTTAAATTATACTTGTTAATAGGCTAATGATTTACATATATTTTTTTGACTGTTAAATAGCAAATAAATATTTTACTTGAAATTACTTATTAATGGATCAATGGGGTCGGCAACCTTTTTGGTGTCAAAAAAATATAAATGTTTATGGGCCATACATTTTAAACGAAGTTTATAGTTATACCAAATTTAATTTATTGAAGTTTCATCACTGTTAAGTATATTAATTTAACGTGGTATATACTAACAAATAATAACACAATAATATTAAAAAAATAAATAAATACCAAGTAAAAATGAATGTGATATTTGATTTTGAATAGCATCAACAAGTTAATTAATCGTAGGTTCGATTTTTGAAGTAAAAATTCGTAATAGATCATTCAAGCAGTTTATTGTCGCCTAACGTTGTATTCTTTCATAATGTTTATTGTTTTATTACAAATTAAACACAATAACTTACAACTGCGTTAAATAAAAAAGAAACGTTTTCGTCCAATCTTCTTTGAAAATACGATGGTCATCGCTAATTTTTCTTTTTGCAGATACAGCACTCATTAATACATATAAAAATATATTACACGCACAACTAAGGCGATATCACTATAAAACAGATCTAGTAACACTTCAGTAATATTTCGTTGTGCATTGACGTTTATCAAAACGTACATAACTTTTATATTAAATGTAAGATTAAATTGAATAATAAATACCAGTTATTATCAACTAACAAAATGTAATATTCTATATTTTAATATCAATTATAAACTGTAATCGTGGGCCGCGGGTTGCCGATTCCAGACTTAGAGTTTTAAATGTATATTGTTAAATAATTTTTAATTGTGTTTTTTTTTTTTTTGTAAAAATTGTAACTTTGTAATTTTCACCGGCCACATAATTTTTAAGATAATTAATATTTTTATGTTTATTTTAGAAGTATAAATGGCATTGATGTAAAAATCTTCCGTTCAGAAAATAATGGTTTAAATAATAATATAATAAAACACAAATATTCCATAATGAACAAACTCGATAAAATAACATAATGTTATTCAACACACGTTTAAAATAAAAGTAAGAATAATTCGACGCGGTGTGAAATGTATTTAACTAACTATAATGTATGCTTTTAATTCTCATTTGACGATCGGAGACTAATACATTTTGGAGTAATTGGGACCTCGCGTATAGTGTTCGGTTGTTTTCATTGCAATGATCCGTTAGAGTTTGTACAACGTCGTCGAATAAACGCTTGTGATATGGGGAGTACTCGTGGAAAAGGGTGCGTGTTGTCGAGATCAAAAAGATTTTACAAGTGGCCAGACAATGATGCCTATGATTAGTAAAAAATCTTTTATAATAATAACACGGACGATCTCTCCACTTCCCTATCGAGCCAGTGGCCGTGAATATTGACATGAACGTAATGAAATACTGCGCACAAAAGTGCCGTCGAATACGTTTAAAGTGATTATTAAATCAAGGATGAAATTATCGAATGTCTGGTAAAACAACCATCGGGAAACTGTTGAACACAGTGGTTCGCGTAGCATTTGTATTATTACACAGCTTGTGCAAAACGAACGACGAACAAAATCGTCGAACGTGTTGGTCGTTTTGAATTACGTGTTTATACATGGACACTTTGAGAACTCGAGAACAAATGAAATCAGACGTGTACTGTTCGAGGATATCATTGATAAAAGTGCGTTTTCGCGGAGCGACGTTTGTAGCACGTTCGGTTTCAACGTCCATGTCCATCATCCGAAAGCTTACCGAATCACGACCGACTCGAATTCTCGGGCCCGAGCCGTTCCGTGACCGATCACTGAAAACCATCGGTAATCCGATTGTCGCTGATCGGATACGTCGCCGTCCGATGAGCCGACGCGTTCGAATCGACCTCAACGCGGGGTGCTGGGGGGGGAGGCGGGGTGTACGCTTCTCGTGGTCCCCCTGGTAGTGTTGTCGGTACGGTCGAATGAAAGCTCCTAAGCAAGAAAAATCAACCCGACACGAAGCCGAACAGCGCGAACCGCGCCGACGAACGTCGACGGACCTCCCGGCCTTTTCG